GGGTAACATTAAATTAAAACAGAAGTAGATTGAAAGTTTTCTGAAAGAATAAAAGCAGATAAAACATGACACAAAACGAGACATATATCTAAACAAGAGATAGATAGTTCAATGTCAGTGCTGAGGCTTATGTTTCAAACATGTAGTTAAAACAATGCAGCTACCTTGCAAGATCCAGATACTCATAGTTCTGTATTCACACACATGCTTGCACAAGTAGACCAACTGAGAAATGTCCCTAGAATAAAAGTCAAACTTCCTAAGAACAGTTAAACACTACGAACTATGAAAACTATGAAAAAAAAATATCTTTTCTTGATAGTGAGCAAAAAAAGGTTACTCTGTGGATAGAGTTACAATTACTGGGTCTGTTGATTCAAAATTAAGAAGTCCTGAAAAAGGAAGTTTCAGTTTTTCTTGTATTCATGCAGGTAATTTGGGTTTTACCTTGAACACATATTAGATCAGACATTAGAATAGTGAACGTGCATGTGCAGTGCTAATACAACCATCAAGCAGAGAAGTATCTAAAATACTGTTACTTTCCTTTAGAATGCGAATGCTGCCATTAAGTACACCGTGGCAACACTAGAGATCAATGTGGATCTTAAAATATCACACACAAGATATTCAAGTTTCTTAAGACAACAAAATTGGCAATAAAATAATAGTTACGCTGTGTTGGTAAAAATAGCTCATGCAGTTCTCTGTAAATGTTGAAAAACTGCAACTGTCTTGTATATATCACAAGCTATTTATCTAAAATGGTACTGTCAGTGAAACAGATGTCATTGCACAATATCCCTGCACCACCCACATTCTGTTCTCCTAGTTGCCAAACAGAACTGTTTTGAATTATTTACTGAACAATCAGATTCAAGCATTTCTGCAATGATCTCCATGCTACATCAAAGGGAAAAAAGTACTTAAAACTGAAATGTAGTTCCACATGATGTTTTAACGTGACTTAATACATTCAACATATCTTCACCAACACAGATGATGAAGAATAGACTGAAATCTTAGCCAAATGTTTAAAAAAAGTCTTATTTTTATGACATTTGTCCATCAGCTTCTTCTGTGTTCCTCTTCCTGTCTATTATAGTCAATTTCAGGCTTACATTTTTAAATCTCTATGCTCAGCTGAGGAAGACACCAAATTAACACCAAAGTCTCCACCTCAGTCCTTACCTCTCTGTTCTTTGCAGGACAGCTACATAAAATATGAAAATCATACCACAGAATAAGTTGAGCTGGAAGGGACTTCTGGGGATATCCAGCAGCGGGATGGCACTTACTACTGTAGGGCCCATCCAGTGTGACTTGTAGGGACGCATCTTGATCTGCCTATGCCATACGCCATCCTACACTGTAGAACTCAGCCATCTGGTTTTTATCTTGTCTTTTAATGCTGTCTTGCTTTTTCATCTATCCTCCTTTTTTTCATCCTTTTCACAGTGATCTCTCGAGTTCATCCGTATCAGACTGCCATCAGGCTTCCTAAGGGGTGGCATGAGGTGCAGAACTATCCACAGTTCAAACAGAGCCTTGCCAGTGAACCCTATGAACTCTAAATGCAAAAAGATTTGTAGTCTGTTCTCATCAGTGACACAAAATTGTTCTGAAAATTAAAGCTACCAGATTTTCTCAACCTGCCACTATAATAATCCAGACTGTATATGTTTGATAGCATGTGAAGGAAAATAGTGAGCACAATGGAATTCGTATAGAGTACTCTGTCTGCATTCACATTTGTACAAGCAGCCAACACACTAAAGAAAATAAGATCAGAAGTTCAAATAGTCACAGTCTTCTAGTACAAAAAGATGTACTTTAATTTTTAAGAATGGGGATAGGAATCTAAAAGGCATCTACAGAGATACACATGCATTCCAGCAATCTGTTTAATACACCTACAGCAAATGAAAGCTAGACAAAAAAAATCAGTTCATATCTAAAGACTTTTCTTATGGGAAATACTGTCCTTGAGAATGTAAAATTTTCTTCAACCTCCCAAGTCAACTGAGAATAAAAGCATTGAAATTAACATTAAAACACATTTTAGTATCTCAAGAGATTTCTCATCTGATCAGTTTTCTACTCTTTGGTACTTAATAAGCCACCTAACCCTTCACTATCCAGCTTTATGATGCCTTATTTAGACTTCTCAAATTTGTTGAGCTGCTTTCAGATTACAACAGTCTTAAAGGTAAGCATGACACACATGCTTTTTTAGCAGAATACTTGCCAGTTTGGCAGCAGCAGAATCAACAACAGATAGGCAGAGGGAGTTTTGGTTAGAGGAAAGAGAATTTTTTCTACTCTCCTGAAATTAAAACATTTCAAGAGACTTTAACACACCCAGCTCCAGATAGCTGCCTAGCAATTCTCTGGCTCAATGGGAGAAAAGAGAGTGAAAAAGTTTCCATCAGAAAAAACTGAGATTGCAAATTCCGTGTTCAGTATACTAATTTGATGCATACAATTGTACATACACACTCTTGATGAGTGGGAGCAGTCTAGGCTAACAGTTAACACTGTAGGAATGAAATATTTTTTTACCTCTGAAAGCCAAGACTATCACTTCTGTGATACTTATAAACCTCAGAGTTTAGGAAATAAACATTCATATGCATTGCATTCACTACAAGGCACCAGACCTCAGACTACAAAAGCAATTTATTCTTTGCTTTAAGCAATAACTTCATGCTGAAAGTCCTAAGCACCTCTATAAGGCTTAGGACTACATGTAATAGTTTGGGGGTTTTTGGTTTTTTTGGGGGGTTTTTTGTTTTGTTTTGTTGCTATTTTTTATTTAAAAAGCAATCCAATAACAGCAAATAAATTAAGAGAGAAATTCACTGAGATTTTATCCAACAAATATAATCTGTGACATCCTTGCTATAAGGAAATAATTTCATTCGTGCTGCTTAATGCTGGTCAACTGAAGAATAAAATAATTCATAATGATTTATCATTTCAAAGATTAAGTGGAATATTAAAAAATACGTCTTTATAGCATAGATCACGGAGTAAAAACATGGTCTGACACCCTGAGAAGCTATTTTTCCCAGGAAGCAAAAAATACATATTTGCTAAATTGCAACAAGATTAGAACATCTTTCATATTTCTTCACCCTTCAATGATTTATGAATACATTATTTTATCATTTTAATTAAATTTAATTCAGGAAAATTATTTTCATGAAGCATATAATGCAAAAGCTTGTGGTAGTAGCCAATTTTTGATTATTTCACCCCATCTGAAATCTGTGTATCTGTATCATGAACAAAATTTAAGTAATTAAAATGTTAAACAATAAATGAGTGGTCCTAAAGGTATCCTTTTAAAATCAACTCCATCTAGAGTACTTCAAATATAAATAATGTGCAATATGGCTCACAAGTGATTTATTCTTCTGTTCAGCCGAAAATAATTAAGCACGAAGGGAGCTATTCTTCCTTACTTTGTAGCCTGGACAACACACAGCAGTTGCTTTTCATATTGATAATTGCTTCAGACCCATTACAGACTTATATTTTCTGTCCAGTTTTGGACAGATGAAGACTGCTTTGTACACCATAGTCTTTCTATCATCACATATTTTTAGCACTAGCTGTCAAAGGATGTACAGTGCACTATGAACTCTTAGATTATTTAACAAACTAATTTATATATTATTTATTACATGTTATTTATAATTATTTATTATAACCAACTAATGTAGTTAAAGAAGCCCCTTGCTAATTAGGGTAAGTATTTTGTTGGTGTTGACCCTTCTTTTCATTTACTTATAAAATCCCAATAATGCATTTTGAGAAAGACAAAGATGAGCATGCTGATTTTGGGAAAAAACAAAAAGGAAAAGATAAAGTTATAAGTAGGTGTACAGATTAGAGACTGGTTAGAGAATACCAGGAAAAAAATGATACTTTTTTGGGTTTTAATTTTGGTGGTTCCTGGTTTGCCCTAAAACTGAATGTGTCTGTCACACCTTTTAAAATATCCAGCTCTGGTATGTCTCTGTCGTCCTGTTTATGTGCCTGAGCACTTATACTGGTGGATTATGCCTCTTCTGAACTACTTCATATATGACTGCTAAACAAAAGAAACAGAACAGTGAGCAGCTAGGTCCTGATAATTTGAATAATTACTGCATAATCAAACCTTATCTGATGAATATACCCAAAGTTATATAAAACCAGACACTCCAACCAACATATTGCTGTGTGCATAAGTATTAACCAGCTCAGCTTCATAGGTCCCTTAAATATTATATTGCTTGCTTTAAGAGGAAAGCTGTTTAAAAGATTATTGTAATTGCTGAAGACTCAACAAGCCCTCTGTGCATAAATTTCATTATCTACTTGTGGACAAAAATTAGTTTGCATAGCTGCAAATAGAATATGGGAAACCATCCTCCTTAAACAGAGAACCTATGACTCTTGCTACTGTGGTCACTCTTTTCATGAGTTTTTTTCATGTAAGTGCAACTAATTACAACAGAAAGTTAAATTGTATTATCAGCATCCATAGATGAAAAACAAGTATAAAAATACCTTTGTATACTGTTCTGAATTATTTGCATCTTCTCTGAGGAAGAAAGTGCATTGAAAGTCTTTAGAAAGCCAAATTTTGTCACAAGATCCTCCCCAGATATTGTCACTGCTTAATCCAAAAGCTTAGGGAAAAAATAGCTCAGACCTCATCAAATGTGCCAAAATGCTGAGTAAAGGTTTCTGTCTTTTTGCTGGCATTTTTTTTCTTTGCTTTCTATGTGATCAGGATAATTCTGGAGTTAAAATCTATTGATTTACTAGAAGGCTATTTTTTTTGTTATTTTCAATAACATCGGTTTTATTAAACAAAAAGACATTTGAGCAAAACATGGAACTTTTTCTACATTGACTACCGTACTCTATTAGAACCCTTATGCTACAGAAGGACTTATCACTTATAAGGACATTAGTACATATAGTTCAACTAAAAATTGACCAACCTTTCCTTCAGCATCTGTTGTTACCTTCTCAACCTTGTTCCTGTTTAAAAATTTCTTCACCAATTCTTCTACTTGGACATTGAACTTCATAAACGTCACATAGCAAAAATATGCTGTCAGGAGTGTTATGCTTTCCCACCACATTATGAAGTTATCCAGAAAAAAGATGATTAGCAAGATCAAGTCAATGATGTAAAAGGACATATCTCGAAAGAGTGGCCACCAAGTAAGGTTCAAGATCTCTTTAGAAAATAAAGCACACATTCCAATAACAAATAGGATATTGAACACGGCAGATCCCACTATTGTACCAATGCCAACGTTGCTGTGGGATATAAACACTCCTATCAAAGAAGTGAAGAGTTCTGGGGCTGACCCACCAGCAGCCATGAAGGTTGCCCCTGCCACATCATCAGAAATGGCCAGTTTTTCAGTGATGACAGTCAAGGAAGGAACAAAGAACTCATCACAGACTATAGCTAAGGCTATAAACATGTAAATCATTCCAATTATATGGAGGATCACTGCTCCCTGTCTTCTCTCCTCAAGAGAGAAAAGGTCCTCGGGGTACTCTCCCTTCGCATGATCATCTGTTTCATTGTTGTGCCCATGTGGATCTGGAGTGACATTTTCATTCTGTTCTGTGAAATCCAAGAGAGTTCTTTTGTGCCCATGCACCAGCTTTTGGCTATCTAGGCTGCTGACCAGCGCCATGCTATGTGGTTCCATCTTGAAAAAGGCACTCATTGAAAGCAAAAAAGTACTAATGGCCACTACACTGACAAGGAGCCCTACAATTCGTATCAGTCTCAGTTTTTTCCTGACATTCTGGTGCCACCTGCAACCGAACAGCGGTTCCGCCAAACACCACTCCTCCAAGACACCAACAACAGTTTTTTTCTGAAGAGCCATTTTGTGTTCTGTGCAAGATGCTGAGGGAGTCAGATGGACTCTTCCTTCATACTTTTCTCCAGCTTTGAAGTTAGAAGTGCTGTAAGAGTCTTCCTTCTTCAAGTACTTTTACTCTTCACAGGATGTATTTTCTTCATTCATCTTAAAAGGACAAACATTGATATTAGTTAAACAAGAAGTGATTAGAAACTTATGAAAGCATTTTACAGACTGGGCTCAAATCTAAAATTTGAAGCAGAATATGTAACATATACCACCAGACACAGCAATCATATGTTTGTTTAAGCAGTAACCCTATGGACAACAATTTACCAACACTCATTTTATGCCTCTCATATGTCTCTGAGCCATTGCTCTCCTCAGTTGCTGACAGAAAAAAAAATCCTAGTGGAAGGCATAAACCATCCCCAGATGTTGCACAAAAATGAAGAAACTATTATTTTAAGTGATACACCAAGGATTATTACCTGCTTAATTACTTTTCACTATGAACATGTAATGTCCAAATCCCAAACGCAGGGACAATAGTGCCAGGAAAAGCAATCAAAGTGCTAACAAGTATCTCATCAGACCTTTAGGCAGCTGAGGCAGCATTAATTGAAATGTTACGTGTGCACAGAGCAACAGTCATTGATGTGTAAGTAGAACACTCTGATGCTGGAACAGGATTGAAATCGGAGTTTCTTTAGCTCCACTGTAGAATCAACTCAGGTTTATAGAGAAAACTTGGTTTCCTTCTGATCAGAGCTTAGGACACTGTCTTGGATGAGTCAAGACAAAATTTCCAGTCTCCCCTCATTTTGTTTTGATTTATGTCATGCATTCAGAAATAAATGTAGGCTGTTACTAAGAATACTTATATGGTACCTTTTAGAAGTGCTTCTCTTACTAATACTTAAGAAAATTGCTTAAATTTACACAAGATCCTGAAACAAATGAAACGGTAAGGAATTATGCAAGAATGACTATTCATATATGCCAGAGATGAGCGTTCTTGACTAACAGCACTTCTAATACAGGAAAAAAAAATCTCAAGATAATAACAGGTGTTTTGGTTAATGAATTTGAAGAACATTTGTAATGTAGAAGTTACTTACATGTATGTCTTTCACAGTTAGTTGTATTTGATATGAAACAAAATATAAGACACTTTCTCAATAAAACTGAATGTTAGTCTTTACAATTACTCCCCAAAAATACTTTATTACTTCTCTTATTCAAGTAATTTGTAGCAGTAGCTGAATTCAGAACATTCTGTCGATCAGCAGAATAACTGACTTTGTATTCTCAAATACAGGATTACTGCTATTACATGCAGTTATCTCCCTAGAAGTTATTAAGTCATTCTCAGTTTCTCCTGATTTTTTTTCAAACAGTTTCCACACTAAGATGTCATAGAGACATACTTCATCCGCAAGATGCAGTAGCACAGCAGAGATATTTATTTCCCACCCCAGAGTTAACACTCGACGGACTGCCACAAAAACATTTGGCAGGAAAGGTACCGGAACGGCACCACCGCCGCTGCCGCGCACAGCCGGCGGCGACGGGCCGGTGTCCGCGCTCCCTTGACCATTACGGGATACAGGAGAAGCGCTGGTGCTGTCCCCTGCCCGGGCACTCGCACGGTAGAGCTCAGACAGACCGCTCCCGACACGGCGGACCCCAGACCCCGACGGAGCGCAGCGCAGCCCCCCGCCGCCCCGCCTTCTCCCCCGTCCCCCCGCGGAGATGCCGCAGAGCCTCGCCTAACTCAGCCCAAGTTCGCTCCGCTCCGCCGCGCTCCGCGCCGCGCCGCACAAACTTTTTTCACCTCCGAAAGGAGAGCGGGTCCAGCCCCAAGAGCGGAGAGCCGCGGCGGCACCGACCGGGGACTCGGGGCACCGCTCGCCCCAAGGCAGCCGGTACCGCCCATGGAGGCGGGAATTTGCAGATGGGAGTCCCCGCACCGCCGCAGCCCAACCCCCGCCCGCGCACTCCGCCGGCGCTCACCCGGAGCTGCGCTGCGCTGCGCTGCGCGCCGGCCCGCGGACGCTCGGCAGGGCACGGGAAGGAGCGGGATCGGGATGGGGACGGGGATGGGCGGCCCGAGCGCAGCCCCGTGCGGCACCGACTGCGGCGGGCGGCGGCAGCGGGACCCGCCCCGCGCAGGCGGGGCTGGCGGCGCCCCGCCCCCGCCTGCCGCGCTCCCTCGGGAGCTGGGTCACCGGCCAAGCAAGGGGGGCCAGGAATTTATCTTTTTACTTTTCCCCCTTCATCCTGGGTTACCTGGCGCCGTTTTAAGCGAGGTAAAATTCAGCGCATCTAGCAAAGGTAATAAGCCTCGAGGAGCGGGGCTGTTTTAAAAAGGTGAGGCCTTCTGATCAAAATGTCCTTTATGCCAAATGAAGGGAAATCAGGAAATGAAAGATAAGGACGTTTCATTTTGGTGTTGATTTCAGGAAGACAACATACACATGATTAAGTTGTTTGTCATGATTAATTTACTGCTGAACAGAAATTTCTTCAAACTGCATTTCCAAGTTGCTGAAGAGAGCAGCAGCGATGCCCTGTACACATGAGAAAACAGGGGAATTCCTTAGCCAGAGCTGTCGCCTTCTATTTTGATCTTCTGTTTTCAACATTAGTACTTCCCCAGTAAGCTGTGCTTCATTAAGTAAATGCTTCAAAATTCACAAACATTGAAACAGTTGCAATGCAGTTCTGCCATAGCTAATTTCCTGTGATGTATGCTGGAGATTTATGAGAGTACACAGGTGATGCTCTTTTGAAATACCAGTTGCACTCCTCCTCTACACCATTGTTAAAAAAACCTACTTGGTAATCCATGGATAAACCAAAGCAATCCAGTGTAGGCGGGCCAACATCCCGGGAAGACCCTGATTGGTTCAGGGCAGTTTTAAGAACTTCATGTGGGAGTCCTTGAAAAATGCAGAGCCCAGACAAGAGCAAGGATATTTGAGCTGTTGGGTAAGAACAGCCATTGAGATATGGGAAAAGTTTGATAAACAGCTCACTAACACTTCTTTGCTTTCAGTGGCATACTTTGCCCATTCTGAAAAGCCCTACTCTAAGAGGTGAACTCTCAGTCTCTTTAGGGTAAATAACAACCTCTTAGAGTTTCTACTTTCTTCAATTTGTACTCTGATTTCATCCTTTGGCAAACAGAAAATAACTGTTAATTGGTGCTTCACAAAGAATACAAAAATGTAAGGGTTTATCTTAAGTGATAATACACGGATATTATAAGTATTATTAAGACATCACATGAAAAATAAGGACTGTTAAGGTAAGCCTGGCATGCACACTCTGTTTATATTTCCACACTGGCATTTTGTTGGACCTGGGCTGTTTGGTTTGCCCTTGGCATTAACGGAAAACTCTTAAATTCTAAAGATTTAGGAGATAGCAAAATGAGATACACCAAAGTGCACCTGGCATCTTAGAAACTATGTAGCCACAAAAGAGACATAAATGGTTACGAAGATATTTCCAAAATTTCAATGGTTTCTAGTGAGAGCCACAGCTGAGTTGCACACGCAAAGTGCACGTTAAGGCCAGAGTCTGCTCATGCGGTGTACATTTATTTCATGTTTCATACTGGGAGGTGATCATTAGTGACTAGCAATTGATGGAGGGGCTGTTGATTATCACAACTTGCCTTTGCTCAGTCTCAGGATGATGCAAGGATGTGTGGAGATTGCTTTTAACCATGCTTCTAGAGACCCCACATAAATGAAAATAAGTTAAAATGCGGATTTACTTCTGTATCCTCATATGCAAGACCTAAATGAAGTAGCTGCATCTCAAACATTCAGCCTGTGCCTGCTATACAATGTGACAGGGATTAAGGGTACGTATGCTTACAAAATTTCTTGTGACTGCTGAATTGTTGGCTTGCAGTCTATGAGAAGTGGCCACTTGAAAAATATCAAAAATGGTTTTACGGCTTCAGAGATGGTCCAGAGGCAGGCTGAGATATGTGTGTAGTATCCCCGTTTTATCAATTTGTGAATTAAAAATTGAAAGTAGGTGACTTTTACAAGTGACAACAGGGACAATATGTAGAAAATCCCCTATAATTATGCTATTATATTCCCTATAATGATATTATCTACTATCTGAAAGTGCCTGTATCTGAATTCTAATATCCATCTGTTTCTCTGTAGTTGCGAAAATTTTTCTCCCAGCAATAAAAATGTGTTGCAAGCCAGGGACAATAATATCTGTAACAAAAATTATGTGGCTCACAGAATGGTATCTCTACCAATGACTTAAGCATTTTGAATCAGCTGACCCATCCTCATATAAATGCTGCCTACCAATCAGCAGAATATTAAATAAGCACGGTAACTTTAGTATAAGAAGGACAATAGCAGAAATCCCCCTTTTTTTTTTTTTTTCTCATAAAATGAAACACTAGAGTATATCCTGATTAAATACAGAATAACGAAATTATTTGAGTGGAACAATATTTTCCTCACAGCTGTTCAATGTTTCTGCTTTAAAGAGAGAAGACACCACTGCTAAGTGTTTGGATTCTACTCCTACACATTTGTAAGTGTGACTAGGTTTTCATTTTTATATATTTATATTTATATTTATATTTATATTTATATTTATATTTATGCTGAATATATACTTTTTATTATCTTATCTCTAGTTTACTTCATCATATGTAAGGAGTCATCTGAATTCGTAAATCACTCTTCTTCACCACTTCCTATTTCCAGGAAGCTCCAAGAAATAAAACATTTTTGTTGTTGTTTTGGTTTTGGAACAGAATTTTTGTTTTGTCTATTTTCTTGCTGGTGTAAACCTTTAACTTGGTAAAAGCAAGCACAGAAGTGTTTTTGTGCTGGAGAGGGAAGGAGGAGGGAGTCAAATGAAAAATCCTAAATAACAACATCTCTAAGTAGCCCAGCAGTACCTTCTAAAGCTGGAAGATAAAGCTGATGAGGAAGTTACCATGACTACAGAGGCGGCATATTTGAATGAAAATGGATGTTAAGCTTTTAAATGCTAATTGCAGTTGGGAACAGGTGACATTTGAAATATCAAAATTATTTCATACTTTGCCATTTTTAACAAGTGAAACAGGACAGAAAAGATGACAACATAGAATTAAATTAA